CACCGCACCCAACTCCCGAACAACACTGAACACGGCAGACCTCTTTGAGAGGAGCTCCTTACACACGCCCCAATTAGAGCTTCTCTCGAGATCATATCCCCACCACAAGAAACATCAATCACATCATCACTCCTTACCATTCCCTTTTCAGCATCACAACCCACAGCAGCAGCAGCAGCAACTACGGCAACAAATTCTGATAAAAGCCTATTCGCCACGCTCAAGGCCATGGACACCATCGATGAGCTCATCATCTGGACAGCTGAGAGACCCTTTTGGGCAGCTCTGTTCTCCATTTATGCATTGGTACTGCTGTTTCTCATCTCCGTTGTGATTGTGGAAGTAGGGGATTTCGTCTGGGCTTTGATTAGCATGAAGATACCGTCATGGAGACGAGTCATCCTATCTGGGCCCGAGAGACGCCTCGTCGCGGTTCCTGCGGCAGAGAAGGATGAGAAGCGAATGGGAGTGAACTATGGGTCGTGTTGCGAGATGGACGGCTGATTTGTCTTTTCCGTTGTCTTGCTTGGGTAGGGGGCTGTTTTGGTTGGAATTGCATATAACCAGGTTTCGGCGTTTTTCTTTTCTTTTCTTCCTTTGTCTGTTCCTTTCCAGCCTTAACATTAGCGATTCATATCTCTCCTTATTGTCGACTCTGCAGGAGTTAATATTTCTAACGAAGCGATCATATCATCTCTCTACACACCTCTGCATGACTTCTTTAATCACTCGAAACTGGTCCTGAAGCTTGAACTCATTTGCGCCAGGCTTCTCCCACTGTTTGGAGAAGTTAATATAAACTTCCCCCAGATATATACACTCACGATCTCCCTAGGATCCAGCTAAATTGGGCCTTCCCCTCCTCCCCATATCATCCAATATTCCTTGCCGTTCATTGAATGCTGCAAATCCCCAGTAAAGCCAATCTTCATAAGCCTTACCCAAACCAACGAGTAGAAGAGGGTAGCCTGGTTTATTAGAGTATATACCCATCATGGACACGTAGAAAGCAAAACCGCGCTAGAAGCTACCAAGATGGAGGGATATAAAGAACTGGAACGGCCCAATTGTTAACCGGTAAGTTACTCGCAGCGGAAGGAACTTGAAACTGAGAAACCAGACCTCGGCATATCATTTCCCTTCGTTCTTGCTCCTTGCCGGAGCCGGGACAACGCTGGGAGCAAGCCGATCTCGGCAAGTGCTGCCGCACTGCCGAGCCCAATGCCGAGCCCAATGCCGGCGGGGTTTGTCGCCTATCACACGCTCGCAGAGCCGCCAAAATGTTCTATGTGAGCGTGGCACAGAAGTCGAAAGGGACGCAGAGCTGGGCTGGACTGGCAATGCTTGGATAAATGCCATCTATCTCATCGTTTAGTACTAGCACGGAGTGGTTTCTTTTCTTCTTTTTATTTTTTGTTTCCCATCTACTGCGGTGAAACACAGACAGCTGTAGTAGTTGATCAATCCTACGATTCCACCATGGCGAAACAGTATCAGCTTCCCTTTCAGGTATGTGGATTCTATGATCGAGGCGCTTCCGGTTTTGTGGATGAGCAAGAGCTCCCATTAGAACCGTTAAGAACTTGAAGCTGTTGCTGACGGCTCGCCGGTGGCTTGCATGCATAGCTGGATGACCCAACTCTGCTGCACTTCGACTCCTTCATCAACAACGAATGGGTTACAGCAGCCGATGGCAGCAGATTTGAAGTCTCTGGTAAGGCTTACCCTTCATCTAGTGACAAGGGAAGAGACTTGAAAAATGTTGGCTAATTACTGGTATACTACTGCCACATTGCAGACCCAGGCACCTCGCTACCATGGGCCAGCTGTCCCAATAATTCCGCCATCGATGTCCCGAAGGCCGTCGAATCCTCCCATGCCGCCTTCGAAAAGTTCAAAAAAATAAACCCCCGCATCAGAGCTCAGCTGCTGATGAAATGGGACGGTCTGATCCGCGACGCACGGTCGGATCTGGCCAAAATCCTCACCCACGAGACTGGAAAGCCAATTGCGGAGGCGTACGGCGAAATCGACTACGCCCTAGGCTTCACATGGTGGTTTGCAGGCGAGGCAGAGAGAATCCAGGGTGGAATTTCCATCCCCTCAGCAGCCAACAGACGTGTATTTACCATCAAGCAGCCCATTGGTGTCGCGGCGGCATTGATCCCATGGAACTTTCCCATCGCCATGGCATTGCGAAAGGCCGCTGCAGCCTTCGCCGCCGGCTGCACGATGATCATCAAGCCCAGCCCGAAACACAATTACCACTCTCGTTATAGCCCATCTCGCCCTAAAGGCGACTTTCCACTGCGTCTCAACGTCTTGACTACGACTGATAACACCCCGCCCTCAGCGAAGCGCTCTGCAAGCACCCCCTCGTCAAGAAAGTGACGTTCACCGGCTCCACCGCTTTGTTGGAAAATTAATTGCCGCCCACTGCGCCCCGGGCCTGAAAAAAGTCACCCTGGAACTGGGCGGGAACTGCCCCTTCATCGTCTTCGACGATGCAAACCTCGAGCAAGCCCTGGACCAGCTCATGGCTCTCAAATGGCGCCATGCCGGCCAGGCCTGCGTCACGGCCAACCGCATCTACGTCCAGAGCGGCGTGTACGAGAAGTTCAGCCAGATGCTCAAGGAAAGAACCAGCGCCCTTGTCGTGGGCCATGGGGCCGATCCAAACACCAACATAGGCCCCGTAACCACCCCACGCAGTCTCGATAAGGCTTCTAGCCAGGTCGAGGATGCGGTTAAACTGGGCGGGAAAGTAATTTTGGGCGGCGGTCGGAAAAAGGACTGTGGCGGCGGCTATTTTTTTGAGCCTACCATCATTACGGACATGAAGGCGGATATGTTGATCTCGCGTGAGGAGACGTTTGCGCCGATCGCGGCTCTGTATAGGTTTGAGACGGAAGAGGAGGCTGTGAAATGGGCAAATGACACCAGTATGGGCTTGGCGAGCTATGCGTTTACGAAGAATGTAGATCGTTTGTGGAGGATGCTGGAGAATCTGGAGGCGGGCATGATCGGGTTGAATACTGGTATGTTTTGCGAGTGCTTCCTTTATTTTATTATATTTATTTATTTATTTATTTTTTTTTTTTTAAAAAAAAAAAACAATTTCCTTTTTCAAGCTTCTGTTCTTGCTAACCACAGGGTAAAAAATAGGTAACTCGTCTGCTGCGGAATCTCCATTCGGTGGCATCAAAGAATCTGGGTATGGCAAGGAGAGCGGCAAGGACGTTGCTGTTGCGGAATATTTGATCACCAAAACCGGCACTTTTACCGTGGAGGGCCAGTACTAGCATTGAAGGAACGCAATACCGCACACACTCTCACACACATTATATACTGTAGCTACTAAAAAAGCTTTGCTTTCTGAATGGTCTGAGTGAAAACGTGTAATAGAGTTGCCAGATACCGCTTCCATAGCTGATGATAATATGATATGCGATGGTTTGAATATAGTTAAATCGGGCCGCTGACGGGGCGGGGCTCCTTTCGTACATGTGTTAATCCGGGTTCTACTGTCATTATATCTAGTCCTCTTCAAGGCAGTTAGGGACAGTTGACGGCATCACACCCCTAGCAATAGATAGTTGGCGTTCAAGCAGCCCAAGAATATTTTTGCCCCCCCCACCCCTCCCCCTGGATGTCTGCAGTCATCATAGAATGAGATATTACCACTGTTCGTTCTCTTTTTTCTCTTTTTTCTTTTTTTTTTCTTTTTTGGTGGATGAAGAGAAAGTGGGATGGATAGAGGGGTTATTTGTTTTATTGGTGATGAAACTTTTGTTCCTGTTCCTGAACTTCCAGATTATTTTCAAATATGGGAAGCAGTTAAAAGGTGAAACCCGCAAACCATGTTTTATCACTTATTGGATTTCCAAATAAACTGCCTTCCCGAGCCAGGGGATTTGGGATTTGGGCTATGGGTGCCTATGAACCACCGAAAAACCAATTCGAAAGAAGATATTTCCCATGGGGCCGCTGCAGCTCTCGATCTTCGAGGGATTTTCCAAAACTCCTTTCATCCACAGTTCATGCAGAAATGTTGCTATTTTTTACATGCAGTGCTCGGATTTCAAACATGTAAAACAAAGAGTGATGTAAAATAAACATAAAATATCAAATAAAATAAAACTGAAGATAAGGAGCAACCAAGAGAAGAAATATGTAAATCTGCCAGAGCTTAACTGGGTTCTATGGACACGATGTGTTCGAGGGTCAAGGATGAGCTGAGCCCTTCCCCTTTCTTGTATCCATGCCAACGATGCCAACGGTTTGGTATCT